CGCAAGAGTGTTGGTGCCAAATTCTTCAGGGTGAGTACAGCATGCTGAAGTTCCGCTTGCCGTACACACATAAAAAAATTGGATTTGGTGACAGTAGTCGTAAGGTAAATTCGAGTTTGATAGGTCCCGATGGCACCGTGAATTATCTGCGTGGAGACATCCTTCTCCCTATTTGGACCCGTCCGACAAGCACAGAAGGGCGTCTGGTGGTCCCACGGGGAGCCCATCGGGTGCCGTACAAAGTCGCTCAAGTAGAGAATTGCTTTTTTTTCTTTAATGCACGTGTACGGGAACAGGTGCATTTTAACCACATTCTCTTGCCAGACGAGAACCTTGACCATCACTACGATGCGGCAGCGGAAGTAAATTGCCTCCTCAAATATCTGCAATTTTTACACCCGGAACTGAGGGAGGCCTCGGCGGCTGTCTTGCGTCGCGAGGTCAAACATATCTCAACTTCTATCACCGCGCATCTGCGTGTCAATTTCCAGGACGTTGTTCGTCGTCGAGAGTATCTTTTGTTGAAACAGGCGCGTAGTGGACAAAGCGAAGAAGAGGGCGATGAAAGTGACAATGAGGCGGTTGATGCCGACACAGCGCCCAACTGTGGGGCCCAGCTTGGCTCTTCATGGGAAACATTTGCGAAGGAAATCATTCAGGCAGCCTCAAAGGAGCGAGCACGCGTTGTGTGGAGGCGAAATGTGGAAGAGACGGGGTCGGATGTTCGTAGTGGTTTTTGGGTGACAACCATCATGCGGCAGTAATTTATTCATGGAAATTTTCCTGCTCGCTTTTTCCACATTTGTTATTATTATTTGTTGTTGTTGTTTTATGTACGTGTCTGAGGTGTTGACACGACCGCAAGGACGTGTTATTATTATTTCTCCGCCTGTCTCTTTTTTTTGTTTTTTGTTTTTTGTTGTTTTTGCCGGAAAAAAAAAAACACAGGAAAACGACAACACGACGTTGAAGAGGAAACAAAAGGAAATAGGAAAAAAGATTCCGCTAGTCCCGGTAGTCAACGGCCAAAGGAAAAGAAAAAAAAATACGTCACCGCCCACCCCACCTCTCTAGCACACGGATAACAACAACAAATGGCAACTGCTCTCCGTCATGGACGAAAAGGGGGAAAAGTTACTTCATCCCCCGCGATCGCCCCAAAGGTCCTAACGCCAGGAAGCGCCATGTCACCCGCCTCACTGCAGGCATTTGGAGAGGGTACTACAATTATAAGCGACCCGAACGCCGCCCATCCATTTGACCCTGACGCAATCACCAATGTTGTCAAAAAACCCACAACAACTGAGGCTAATGTTCTCCAGTTTGATATGGAGGCCATCCAACACATTGGTAAGGGAATTATGGTGGGAAGGACGAAGCAAGTGCGAACCACAACTCGTCAACCACAGGTTAGCAATGTAGAAGCGTTATTGAAGTTAGGAAATGCCTTTACGGCGCAAAAAGACATGCTGGTATCACCCAAAAATCCTGTGGGCCTTGAGAAGATTACAGACAACAATGTTGTGGTTGTCCACAGGCCTCAAGAGGCTTTAACCCTGGCAGTGGCCCTTTCGACTTTGGTACCGCAAGCAAAGGTGCTGGTGGTGGTACCCAAATATTTTGAGGTGAGTTCTGTTAAAACGTATTTGAGTTCTTTGGTCGTCGATGGTGAGAAGGCTGCGACGGGTGAATTTTGCGGTCAAACGTTTGAGGGTACTGAGTCAACTCCATTATGGGTAACGAGTGCGGAAATGGCATTACTTTACCTGACGAAGCTTCAGAGCATGGCCCCCTTTTCACACGTGGTGGTACCCGGGTTTTTTAATACGACTCAGTTACTTTCATTTTTTGTGAAGGCATTTGGTCAATGGCTGCGAAGTAGAACCGATTCCTCTTGCTCTGTACGGCTTGTTTTGACACCTGAGAGGACAGATCGAAGTGAAATTGAAGGCATGTTTCAAGATCTTAAAGTCGCTTTTATTGAAAAGGCGGTGGAACATGTAACGGAGTTCTCTTATGGTGAAACGTGTGCTTTAGTTGAGAAGGAAATGATGGAAATGGAGAAAGATGGGTCTGGAATTTTTCCACCTCCCACAAGGAGGCTCATCGACTACACGGCAAAGGTTTCAGCGGAAGTGGTGTCGTGTATCGTGAGGGAAAATGAAAAACCACAGGCCATCGTCGTCTTCACGGCGGAGGCGCGGGAGGTTTTGGTTGCTCTTCAAGAGGCCCATATAGAGAATTGTGCAATTTACTCGGGACTTCAAGGCACCGAAGAGACAGAAAAGACGAAGCATCGTGTATATGTGATGAATCATGTGCGTCACGCTCTGGATATGGATAATGAATACACCATGGTGCTCGATATTGGTACCATTCGTCGTCCAGCAGCACAACACCGATCCGAAAGTTTTATGGCTGCTAGCACAACCGAATGGGAGACAAAAGTTGAACGTGCAGAACGTTTGTCGCTTCTCGAAGGAAAAAAAGGATGTTGTTACTTTTCTTTGTACCCGGAAGATGTTTCTGCAGCTTTTCATGAGGATGCCAAGTCTTTTCCTGATGTATTCAGCGTGGAGGATGCATTTGTTCATTGTGCTCGTCTGAATCTCCCCATGGGTGAAGTGGCGGCTCTTCTTCCAGCTATTCCTACTGAGACTGCCGAACAAGTGATGCACAATCTTGCTGAAAAATGCGTAATAGCCAGTCCACAGAGTCTTGCCATGACTTTTTTGGGGGAAATGACTGCCCGTCTTCCCGTGGATCTGGACATTGCGTCCTTTATTATAGGAGGCTGCAATGTCGGCCTTGGTGAGGCCGCAGTAGCGATTGGTAGTGTGGCTGCATTGCCTTTCCGTTCGATTACCCCGTTAACCTACAGCAGTGTTCCATGGAATGAAGCTACAACGTGGAGCCGCGAAAAATACGCCGGTGACATTGCGCGGCACAGTGATCTCCTTGCCGACACCCTTGTCTTTATTGAGTGGCTAAAACTACGTGCCCGAGGAGAGTCCACGGCAGAGTTTCTTAACACCATCCTTGTACAGGAGTTTAAATTTGTCAAAATAGAAGGATTGATGAAATACATAAGGGAGCAACTGACAAATTACTTGTTTTTGGATCGCTTTGATACCTTAGAGCTCTTGGAAGAAGTGTCAACTTCTGTGCAGGAGAATTCGACCATATTTTTATTTCTGCAGGCCGTTGCCTTGGCACGACGCGCAGCCTTCATTCGCGACGCTGGGCATCTCAACGAAAAGGATCGGTATGCCTCCATGGCTTTTGTTCGCACATCCAAACGCCTGATGCCACACAATTATATTCCGTCATCGATCAAGTGGGACACCGGTAGGATTCTGATCCCGGTGATTCTTAAAAATAGCACCAATATTCTTGCCGGACTCTTTTCGCTCATTCACACACCGTATTTTTTTGCCTCGCTCCTGCTGCTTTATCCATATGTGGAATACTCTAAGCCCGTGATAACTGATAAAGGACGCGTTGTATATTTTGGTGTCTCATGTAACCGTCAGATGAAACGTTTCATGGTTTCTATTGAAGAGGCTGCACAAATTCTTGATTTTCGGGAGAAAATAAATCTGGCGCTGAGTTGTATGCAAGCACTTCGGACTCTTTCCCATCCCATCTCGAAAACAAAGTTTCTTCTTATCCTGAAGAAGCACGATCGTCTCTTTGATGTTGAGCGACTCCATAAAAATATTCGCAGTCAGCTTCTTGAAATTGTGACCGAGTTAAACGTGACGGAACATCAAGGAAGCTTTGAGACTTTTGCCACGCACTGCACAGCCCCAAAGGAATTGCTGCCCATGACTGACACACCTGCAATGGATGTATCGGTGCTTCGTCGGTTTGTGGACGGCACACTGTGGGATAGTTTGCCTACTCCAGGCTCTGTCGTGAAGCCCCGTGCCGCTTCCTTCGCCGGAACCCCGTCGACGTTGCCTTCTGCCCCGTTGATCTCCACAAATGACGAAGATGACGATGAAGAAGTGGAAATTATTCAGGATTCGTACTTTATGCGCCACGGTCCACTCATTGAAGACGATGATGATGATTAAAATCGTAGACAACTCTTTATTTATTTGTTTGTTTGTTTTGTTGCTACCATTGACCCGGTTTGCATCGGTTGAATTGGGGTGGGCAGTGTATGTAAAGTAAGGAAGCACAAATATATATATAAACACACATACACACTTTACCCAGAAAAGGGAAAGAAACATATATATAATATATATGGGAAAAGGCGAATGAGGAGGTGGGCGACAAGCACATAAACATAAAAAAAAAAAAAAAAAATGAGGGGAAGAATGAAAAAAGACGTTGACGATGGGAGTGGGAAAGAAGACATGATTTTCTTCTATTATCCGCAACTTCACACCGTGAACACTCCATCGGTCTATGTTTTGTACACCATTTGTTTTTTTTTTCTTTTTTTTTTTTTTGCATGACCATCGGGGAATGTGGACTTGATTTTGTTTATGACTATTCCTGGCAACTCACGGTTGCTGTTTTTTTTTGTTTTGTTTTGTTTTTTTTTCTGGGAGGGTGTGGGGGGTTTATGTGTTTGTTTGATTTTTTCTTTGGCTTGTTTCTCTGTCTGTATGAATGCCGCTTTTTCCGCTGATGTCGCTTTTTGTTGTTGTTGGTGGTGGTGGTGGCGGTACTGTTCGTTGTTCTTCTAACGGACGCGCTGTAGGGGTTTGCTGTTGCACAAATCGTATGATTTATTTTTATTTTTTATTTTTTTTTTCATTCCCCTATTTTCTTTCTTGTAATTTATGTTACTTTTGGCAAAATGCTGGCGACGCGAGTGGGCGTGGGCAGATTGTGGTGTGGTGATCGTTGCCTTCCACCTCGACACCTTGCTGCCGTGGTCCGCTGTATGGAGCTACTGGGCGACGATGACGCCGTTGATGCTCTCATTCGCGAGGAAGAAAGTCGGGTGCGGCAGTTTAAACTTTTTCACTGCACGGATGAGGAGCGGCGGCGTCAATACGGAGCGGTTTCTCGGCCCATGCTACCGGAGCCGTCACCATCGCCGCCGAAAGTGAAACTCACAGGAATTCCTTTGGAAATGCTGCCGGTGGAAGCAGAAGAAATGCTGGTTCATGAATACGAACAGCACCGCTCTGCCAAGCACGACGTGGACATCGACCTACGGCGCCGCGGGCTTCCTCCACCGTATTACGACGGGCCCCTTTTAACACTCAGAACTCGTGGTCCGTACACACGCTTTGAGGTGCTTGCGTGCCGCCCGCCGATGCGACCTCGTGTTGAAGGGAAAAAGGCGTCTCAAAAGGATTGTAGTCAGCATTACCCACGGCCACTACGAGAAAAACCCAAAGAGGACACCGTAGCAATGCCGGGGGATTCACTGCGGCGGTGGAAGTATAGTATGGGTCTTTTGGACGAGTGATTGTACTTCAGGCAGTGCCAACAGAGTCGTTGGCAAGGATACAATTTGTATTCATGGAAAAAAGCATCCAGTTTGGGTGTGCGATCCCTCTCGATGCAAAAATTGTTGTTATTACTGGGAAATGTTTTTTTTTTTTGCGTACATGAGCTTTGATTATTATTATTATTTATTTATTTACTTTTGTCTGTATGTGCGTGTTTCTTGTTTTCAAATTTTGTTAGCAGCGCCGAGAGAAAGACGCACGCCACCAATGAGCGAGTACAGCACGGCGATGCGGATGCAGCAACACCGTGTGAGGACGACCGAATATATTCCTCTCCCCGAGTGTGTCTTGGCGGAGTTAACGAGAGGTATTCCCATCATTTGCAAGGCAAGTACATCTCTTCAGCCTTTTGCCCCCAAAGCAGCGAGCATTGTGTGTCGGGAAGTGGAGAATATGACGAGTGTCACCTCGTCCGAGCACCGGGTGCGATGCATCTCGCAGATAACTGGTGTCTTACGTGAAAACACTTTTATGTCCCAGAGGAGTGTCACAGAGTGCAGAGTATTTTTGAAGAAACTTGCGGCATACTTTGTGTTTCCTCTCATGCTGCACTGCGCCGTGCGATACCTTCACCGTGCGCTTGCGACGCTTCTTCGAACTGTGTACGTGATAGACGATGATCTTGAGACCTGTTTCTGTGCGGCATTCACTGCCGCTCACATTCGTTGTTGGGGGTCTGGAACTTCTGAGCGACGGCCCACCATTTTTGGTGACAACGCTGCGGCCAGATTGGAGAGTGAGGCCACTCTATTGGGATTTAAGGATTCTGTTATGAGTTGGATAAACTGCATTGATAGCACGACTGTAGTAGCCATGCCTATTTTTCCACGCGTATTTGCTAGCACGTTTTTTGACGTTCTTCCACTTCTTGGGGAGAGTCTGCAGTGGATGGTCCTGAATGCCTCTGTGAAATGTCGTGAAGTTGGGATTGGGAATGCCGCCAATGGGACAATTTTGGGTGAAGATTTGGCTTATGTGCGGTATGGCATTCGCGTTATCACAACGTATACGCATAAGTTCCTGCATCTGCTGCAGGATGTATGGAATAACGGGGACAGAACCACACATTGCCATTTAAAAGAAGACGTGGGGAAACTTTTTTCTTCCGCGGTCTTGATGCTTTCTTCGCCTGTTTTTCCAAAGGATGTTCTGAACGGGGCGGGATTGCTCGTGTCGTCCCTGTTGACCTTACGGACATGTGTCCCATGGTTGCTTCTCGAGGTCTGCCGACAATGTGGGGCCCTTGATCCGCCCACGGATGCTGCTGCTGCGAAACCAGGAGTGACGCGAATCGCGTATACCTTGGAATCCTTACTGCAAAGTGATGTGAGGGAGTGCGTCGAGCTGATCTGCTCCGATGATCACCATCGAAGGGCTAGGGAGCGTCCTCAGGCACTGTGTGCACTGCGGAATATTCTTGGTGCTCTCACCAACAATGGCCGTTTTGCCTTGTTGAAGGGTCTTCTGGCACACTTATCCACACCCATTCACGGTAACGTTGACTCCCTTGGCATCCTACTGAAGCCAATCACTCCTCTTGCGGGCGCGGGACCTTCAGTGGAGGCTTTGGAGGTGGTGCATGATATCATCATGCCGGCGGCGGAGGCGTATTGCTCGGCTCTTCAGGCACCTGACACGCGATTCATGGCCATTCAAACCATTGACAGCGTGGTGCGGCATATTTCTTCCGTTCTTAATTGTATTGCCGAGGTTTTGGAGCATCCACCGAGTGAGAATGAAACAAGGAGAGGTAACGTGAGAGAAAGAAATGTGCAGTGGCCACACGGAGGGAAATTATTGACCGAACCCCAAAAGTGGGGACTCATGGCTTTGTGTACACGCAACGCGAAGCTTACCCGCACACTGAATCACGCGACGGAGATCATTATGGGGATGTGGGACGACAACACTCTGCAGGTAACCGGCCCACTCTACGATGCGTACAACGAGATCCTTTCTGTTCACGCCGCGCTTCGGCGCTGTGCAGCGTTGTTTCCCCCAACTTTTGAAACACACGCTCTGGACGAAGAGATTTTTGATACCGCCGAGGCATTACGACGTATTCTGTGTATACCCAATGAACGGCGTGGTAAATATCACGCATTGTTGGGAATACTTAGCGTTCTTCCCGTGCCACAGTTTCTGTCCGTACTGAAGAAGAATTTTTCACAGGAAACGGCTTCCATATCTGAAGTCCAAGGACTTCGTTGTTTCAGCCGAATGCTCCTTTCTGGTGCGTGCAACCACAAGGTTGGAAATATTGCCGGCGATGTTTTTGCAAAGGCAGCCAGTCTTATCCGACACTCAGATAACGCCGACGCGCATAGAGAAGTTCTTTTCATGCAAGGTATCATTGACCCACTGGTAAAGTCCCTTCTTGTTTCCGGTTACGCAGCACCTCCACATCTGAGTGAGGCTGCTTGTGTATCAAACATAGTGACGCACATGATCATGCCGTGTCTCAAATCAGAGGAAGTTTTCATCCCCATCTTGCTTTCGCAGTTGACACAAGCACTGGAAGGTAAACACAATTCCTCTCGGGTCAATCAAAGCGTTGTGGAAATCATTCATCGGGCGCGTGTCGTCGGAAAAGATATTGGTGCCTACCTTCAACCAAAGAGTCAAACATTTCAGGCCATTTTGGCGAGTCTGCAGGTGCACGAAACTGAACTTCGTTACACCGCGTTGGGTCTCTGTGTGTTGAGCACGAAAAAGGCAGAGACTGTGAAGGCTTGGCAATGCCGTATGATGGAGTGGTACATCAGCACCAATATGTATTGCGGTGGAGACTCCGTAGCGATGCGCAATCTCTTGGAAGTGTATAAAAAATGGATGCGTCGGCTTGTGGATAGCTACGGGAATCAAAACAACAAGCAAAAGAAGGGAATGGCTGGAAGTGAGACAGCCGAGCAGTACAAGGAATTGGTGGTTGATCACTGTGTACGAATGGTTGGATGTCTGGTTCCACAGATTGGTGAGAACGCAAACTGGTGTCGCAATCTTTCTCTCGAGCGTCGTGTAGCGGCCATGTCTACATATTCGTGTCTTCTTCGAAATGCCCTGGAATTTCTTTCTGAAGAAGATGTGAGGAAGCTCAAAGAACAGCTTTTTCCCGTGGCACTCATTGAAGGTCTGCTGGAGTGCCTCTCGGAGGGTTGGGAAAAGGCACGCCTGTCCGCCTACAGCATTCTTATTATCTACTGCAATCACGTCCCTGACGCAATCTTCTCGCATCGTCATCTGGGAAACCCCACGGCTGCAAGTGCCGCCAAGGCCGAACTGCTGCGCGCCCGAACTTTTCGGAAGTCAGAGGGCGAAGTTCTTTGGTACGTTTTGGCGACGCATTTCACACCCGCGGCAAAGCAGGCGGCAGCCGAGAATCCGTCGCACGAGTGTGAGAAACGAGTGAGGGATGTGGAGTGTGAGATGAAGTTGCTGAAGGAAAAACTCTCGGAACTACGCGCCTTGGGAGCAAAAGGAGCATGTGAATTTCTTCAGCTTTATCCATTGCATGGAATAATTTCTCTTTGTGCGGCATTACTTTCAAATGCGTGGGAGATTAAACGTGACGTTCACCTTCTTTACGAGGCATGTAACAATTTATTGCTTTGCTGTAGTGCGGTGCTACAGACATGCTCTTCCCTTGTGGGCGGCGAACCAGTTAACAGCGTTGACGATGGTGACGTGGAGGTGGATTGTCGTGGGCATGTCTTTGAGAAGGATGGTTCTTACACAGAAGATAAAATGCGCACAGTGGTTAACAACACATGGCTCAGTATCCGTACAGCCGCCTCCGCCGTGGAACGCGTGATGAACCTTGCGAAAGTCGAGGATCTCTCTCTCCCGGTAGTTCGTGAGATATGCTACGTCCTTATTGAGTCTCTTCTTCGCACGAAACATAACGGTGTGATGCGTAAAGTACGAGAGGCACTTAAAACAGTTGCCGCCGCACTCCTGCGTTCACGTGATGTGGCATTTCACTCACTCCCCCGGGAAATGCTTGACTTTTTGCTGGGTCCAGATGGCGTCACGTCAAGAAGTGTTGCGCGGATGCTACGGCGGAGTCAAGGCTTACCGCACGCTATATTAGCAGTTCTAGAGGCTGAAGACCCGACGGTTCCTGTCTTTCTTTTTCCAAGGGCCATGAAACTTCTCCTACACGTAGCGAAGGGAGCACACTTTGGTGGGGATGATTGCCAGCATCTTTTAACGGAAGAAAAGTGCCGTAGTCAGCGTTCAAATGCGTTAAATGTTTTGAAGTTTATATTTGAAAATAAAATTTTTGCCTCGCGCTCGGTGGCGGACTTGGAAGAAGCGTTTTGGATAGCCGCTGAAGGGTTTGATGACCCCAGCTGGGGAATACGGAACAGCTCCTTGATGCTCTTCTCGGCTGTGCTACCCCGTTTTGTCGGGGAGCATCCCTCAACTGGTAGCGTGGGTGTTAACACGTCACTGCACGACATTGCCGTTCGGGCGCCCCGTGGTGTCGCTTTTGCATACGAGGAGTTGGTGAAGAGTTCGACGACACCTGTGCCCAGCCTCGGAGTGTTTCCGCTGCTGCAGATGCTCTCCATGGTTACCCCTGACCCACCACATCTCTTCACGAATGCAACAACGTCTCAGCAAATTGCAGACGCGGATGTGGATTCCTCTCGAATTGTGCGGGCTATTATGCTTTGTGGTTCATCTAAAAACCTTATGGTTCGTGCCGCGAGTGCTGTTGCGCTAACTTCACTTGTTCCTACTTCCCACCTGGAGACGCTTCTTGCGGAAATTATATCCAATTTATTTCAACCAAAAAATGGCCTTAACGCGGTACACGGCGCACTACTTCATTTGCAGCAATTTCATACTTTTTATGTGGGAACGCTGCGCCGTAACATGAGAAAAAAGGCCATGAATAGTAGCGCGACGGCTACCGTGGCTTTTCTTGTTAATCGATTGGTCGTAGAGGGTCTTGGTGCGCCCAACCTTGCTGTTTCCAGTTCAAAACTGTACCAAGCCTGTGTACATTGTCCCACAATCGCTGCCACCTTCTTGAGTTTGGCCTCTGATGCTCTATACTACATTCAGAGCTTTGGGTTGTGTGCGGATAATACCGCTCCAATTGTTAATTTGATGCGTTTTGGAGTAGCAGTGGTTTACTGGGCAGTCTGTGCGCCCACGCGGTCTTTTGAGTTGGCGCGACACGATCATGCTGCGGTTTGTGAAAACGGCGCACTTTTCGCTCTTCTTGTGGTTCGGCTTCTCTCGCTGTCAAAGGAGGAGGCGGAGGGTACTGAAGAGGAAAATGACAAATTGGTCTCCTTCAATGGGAATGATCAGGCATGGGATACACTTTCTCAGGTATTTACGAGCGAGAGTGGGGAATACCTCATATCGTGCCTTATGGATCACGTAAGCCACCACACGGCGGAGAAGCGGTGGCCACGTGAAGAGTCTGAACGAACTATGCGGCAGTTTACATTGCGTCTTCACTGTGATCCTGTAAATGCAGCGTTGCGAATGCTATTGCGGGACCTGTCGGAGGATTCTTTGTTACAGAGATTGCCTTGCACGAGGATTTTGCATATGAGTGTCCATCTGGAGTACCTCGTCTTTCTGGGCAATGATGGTGGGCCACGGTCTGAGACTTGTGAAGCGTTGTGCAAGGCGCTGGAGGAGAACCTTCTTTGCAGAATGGACCCCCAATCAAAGCGACCTTTGCAAAACACGGAGGTTCAAAGTTGGGCCATTCGCTTTCTCGGTCGTTGCTGTGTACGTCACGGTGCTTCCAGTGTGACATTGTTGAGGATACTTGAACATTACTCTCGTCCCTTTTTTGATGTGCGGAACCGTGCTGCAGTCGTTTCTGCATTAAAGGATGGGCTGTTATGCTTAGAAGACGACACAGCTGAGACTGCTGTGAAGCATCGGTGTGCATTCTTACTGATTCTCCTTCGGCTTCTTTTTGACGACGCGTATGATGTTCGTCTGGAGTCCTGTCGTGTGGTTTCCCAACTCACTTCACCAGCAAATTTCCTGCTGGATCACATGACCTGTGTATTGTCTCTGGTGTTTCTTATCCGGCAATCCGGTGAATGCCGGGTTTTTGATGCCGAGTTCTTGCAGCAGTACCTGCTGGGTGCTGACGTCTCACGAAATAGTCCTTTGGGTCACAACGACGAAAACAATAATGGTGTTGAAGCGGACGACTCTGATTCGGAGGAGAGCGATGTCCTTTTTGAAAAGGAAGCAGAAAACATGTTTGCGGAGAACACCCTCTTGGCGTACCTTGTGGGAGCCGTCATGCACGAGGCGGAGGTCAGCAGCCCCACCTTTGGGGTGTACGACGAGCTACTCCGTGTGGCAGAGCGGCGAGGC